TCCCTGCAATAGGGCCTGACCAGGTGTCCCTATATGTCACCTCCCATTACTTCAGGACTCACTATATGCTCATCTAACAGTCTTCAGAGTGACTCTGTACATGGCTCCCTTCTCTGTTCCTGGGTCAGGACTGAGATGGTGTCTCTACACAAACTCTTCTTAGCGATCAGGATCCAGAGCAGTGATGGGTCCCCGTGGACACAGGTTCGCCTCTCTGCAAGATGTTGGGACTTTCCTCTTATGTGCTTTCTCCCTGATTTCCAGAGCTCTCCTTCCTCTGAGGTCCTCACAGCACTGAGGAGATGGGGAACTCTTCACCCCAAATTGTGTGTAGAAGCCGTCACGTGCATTCCTAGAGGGTTACACACAGAGCATCTTTGTCACCTGTCACTGTTTCCCCCTGCTTGAAACAACAGTTGTCCACACACTGGGCAGGGATTCCCTCCCCAGCTCCGTCCTCCCAGCACAGACACGAGTCTGCAGGAGCCCTGCCACGTGAGTGTGTGTGGCCCTGACCTCAGAGCACAAAGGACAAACATGCTGGAAGTTCTAGCAGGGAAGGAGTGACAGCTGCATGACAAGAATCCAGAGGAAGAGGTTATGTACTGGTCACCACTTGGCCAACCGTGCACTTAAAATGCATGAGTGTTCTTTTCAAGAAACTCTTCTCAATAATACTGATTCAAGCTCAATGGCAGCGCCATGGTGAAGATGCAGGTGCAAATCACGAGTATGTGGTTCCCAGATCCGTGCTTGTCGCAGGGACAATGTGGATGGAAATTGTGGTTACATACATCACTGCAGAACAGAGAAGAAGTATGACTTCGGCTTTCCTCTGAATAGACGTCTATAAACATTTTCTGAAAGCATTTGTCTTATTTTTTTCCCCTAAAATTGCATCGTGGCTCTGATCGTGCAGGTGGGAAAGCCGGAAGTGGTGCCCATAACCCCCCAGGAGCGACCTGTTTCTACGAACTTCCCAGCGCCCTGGTGATGGAATCCCCAAACACAGACAGAGCTTCCAGGATGGAGCAAGCGAGCGCCACACTCACATCTGGGGTGGGCTCAGCTGTAGTCACAGCCGCCTGTGTCCAGCATGTTCAGGATAGAGCGATTGCTCGTTCAGACCCCCATGAGCTGAAGTATGAATTTCTATTAGCAAAAGCTGCCTGGACCCAGAAGTTTCTGTCAAAGGTCACATGGGACTGGTGAAGAGGTGCAGATAAGG